TATATAGTTCTTGGTATGTTTTGGGTAGCTACTGTAATTGGCATTTTCTCTGATTTTTAAAAAATTATATTTGTTTGCATACCAAAACCAAATTGTTTATGGTCAAATATTCTTCTAAGTGGTATAGCACCAGACTGTCCATTTGTTGTGATTCGTGGTCGCTGTGATGCTAAGCACTGTGGCACTGATGTGTCAAATGGGATAACAGTTACCCATGATGGACAGTGTTTGGTGGAGCTTCCTGATTAAAACAAGCTTGGGAACAGGAGTGACATCCACTTCTGAAATGGCTTGCCTCCAGAAACTCTAAGAAAGTGGAGAAATGATGAAAGTTATACAAATGTTCAGGTTTTTTGTTTGTAGGGTCGCTATGTGTCGTCTATGACTGGATGGTACTTAACAGCATTGGTTTACATACAAAATTTGTATACATTGTGTTTCACACTTTCCTTCAGTCACATTGTGTTTTGTATGATAATTCTCACACATTCATTGTGTTTTATAAAATTAATCATTCTTGAACTATACCCATCATTGCACTATCTTTTAAGATAAGGGAGAACTATGTCTTCTACTTCATTTTTGTTTATGAGAAATTCTTTGCTTGTTTGAGGTCTCTTTCCTCCAAATAAACTTGCCCATTCCCTTTTTCTATCTCTTTGAAAAAAATGACTTTACATTTGGATTGCATTAAACATATAGATTCCTTTTGGTAGGATTGTAGTTTTCACTATATTGAATCTTACTATTCATGTACAGAGAATATGTTTTCATTCATTTAGCTTGTGTATGGTTTCTCACAGAAATTTTTTTTAGTTGTCTTTTAAAGGTCTTTTGTGTCCTTAGTTAGGTTTATTCTGCAGTATCTAAATTTGTGGTTAGCTCTTGTAATCTGTAAAACTTTCTTAGTTACTTTCTCTGTGTTTTCTTTTTTTACTGTAGAGGAATTCCACTGAATTTTGTATGTTAATCTTGTATCTTGCCATCATACTAAATAAGTCTACTATCCCTAACAGTTATTTTTTTGTTACTATTGTTGAGTCTTTGGGATTATTTCTGTACACTATCATATCATCTGCATATAGAAACAGTTTAACCACCTTTTTGTTGATCTGGATGCTTTTTATTTCCTTCTCTTGTCATATGACCCTAGCGAGTACTTCCAACACAATATTGAATAGGAGTGGTGAAAGTGGGCATCCTTTTCTGGTCCCCATGATTCTAGTCTGTCTCCATTGATAATGCTATTGACTTTTCATTTTGCATATATACTTGTGACTATGTTGAGAAAATTATCTTCTATTCCTATTTGCAGAGTGTTTTAATCAGGAAAGGTGTTGGATTTTGTCAAATGCCTTTTCTGTATAAATTTCTAAGATCATGTGGTTCTTGCTATTTATGTAATGAATTACATTGATTTTTTTCTTATGTTAAGCCATTCTTGCACATTGCTGTTGTTATGTGTTATAGAGTCACTTGTGACTCACAGTGACTCTACGCACAAAATCTTGGAAACCTGCCCTATCCTGAGCCAATAACACTGTGACAAACCTGTTCTGATTTCCCCAGTTCACTATATCAATCCATCTCATCCAGGGTCTTTTTCCCTTCTACTGTCCCTCTAACCTTCCAAGCCCAAAGTATATGAGACATAGCTTCAAAATACATTGCCTCCAAAGAGCAACTGAGCTTCACTCTCACTAGGACAAACCTGTTCATTCTTTTGGTAGTTCATAGTATGTTTAATACTCTTATCCAACAACACAACTCAAAGATAACAATTTTTCTGTCATCCTTTTTTATTGTCCAGCTGTCTGATGCATAGTAAATAATTGCAAAGATCATGGCCTGGTTCAGGTGGACCTTTGCAGACAGCAGGTTTCCCCAGTGTAATTTATCTTTTGATTTCCTGATGGCTAGTGTGAAGAGTGTTGTTTGTAGAATTTAGCTAGGTGAAATTGTTATCAATCCCAGTATCTTCTCCATCTATCATAATGCTGCCAATTGGCGTAGTAGTGAGAATCTTTTTTAACTGGTGTTGAGATTCAATCTATGTGGAGATTGCAATCTTTGACCTTCTGCAATAAATGCTTCAGGTCCTACTCAGTCTCAGTAAGCAAGATTATGTCATCTGCATACTGCAGATTATTGATGAGTCTTCCTCCATTTTTGATCCCACATTCTTCCTCATAAAGTCCAGTCTCCAGAATTATGTGTTATTTATATAAATCGGAAAAAGTACGGAGACAGGATGCATCCATCACATATTCCTTTTCTGGTTTTGAACTATGCAGTATTTTCTTGCTGTGTTCTGAGGACTGCTCCCTGATCTAAGTAGAGGTGTCACATGAGTACAATCAAGTGTTCTGGGTTTTCCATTCTTCTCAAGGTTAGTTGCAATTTGTTGTGACCCACAGGATCAAATGCCTTTGTACAATTGATGAAACATTGAGATTCTTGCATTCCTGTTTTGTATGAACTTGGTCATAAAGAATTATTTCTTTGATAGGCTGTTGGATTCTATTAGCCAGAATTTACTGAAAATTTTTCCTTTCATAGGAGATAGTAGTCTGTAGTTTTCTTTGTTGCTTATCTCTTTGCCTGGTTTTGATATTAGGGTTATGTTTGCTTCATAAAATGACTTTGGGAGTGTTCCTTCTTTTTCTATTTTGTGGAATTATTTAAGTAGAATTGGTGATTGGTCTTCTCTGAATGTTTGGTAAAATTCAACTGTTAAGCCATGTGACCATCAAGGACATTTTTGTGCTGGAGTTTTTATGACCAGCTCAATTTTTTTCTTTTTTGATAGGTCTTCTTCCATCACTTGTCCCTTGTTCAATAGCTTCTCAAGTAACTATATATTTTTTGGTTCTCTGCCTCTGGGATATTCACTTTATTTTTGGTTCCCCCCCCTTTTTCATCATCTGTACCTTCATCCATAACTGAGTGAATGACTCCATATTAATATATAACTTTTGCATCCCTGACTCTAGAGTATTTATTGGTTCTACAGTTTTTGCCTCCCTGACTCTGGAGTATTCATTGGGTCTATAATATGCTCTGCTTTTTTGGTAAAAAGCTTAACCTGGAGGTTTTGTTTTATACTTTTTTTTCAAATTTTTAAATTATTTTTATTTTACATTGATGTACATGTAAATTGATGTACATTGTATTTAATTTATATGCATTGTGTTTCACATGTGTTTCCTCTGTTCAAATTTTATTTCATGTAATCATTCCCATATGTTTTACAAAATGAATCACCACAGACCCATGCCCACCATTACCCTTTGACACTTTTGAGAGGTTCTTTGCAGAACATTTTCTTTTTTTTATATTTAGTTTGTTTATTTGTATTGTAAAAACATGTATGGGAATCCAAGGGAGAAAGGGGTGGGAAAAGGAGTGTGAGGATGGGGAGAGATGAAATCGTAGGGTTGCACAATTTGGTGGGTGGAGGGAGTGGGTAAAGGAATTGAGAAGATCTGGTGGGAACAGGAAAAGACAGAGTACTTGTGGACATAATCCAATAGTGACTAATTTACTTTTTTTTTAATTTTTACAGAAAGATTATAGGTTTTTATTTGTGGATTTCCCATTTGGGAATAGGGATGTAGACTCTCTGGCTGCTTCATGCTGAACAGGGATGTTGACATGAAATGGAAGTGGAGCCCACTTTAACACTTTACTGATGGTCTTTAGTTGAAGCTGCATGCCTTCTTGTTTAGAAATATTTTCACATCATTTTCTGCTCTCTGGACTGCAAGGTGCTTGCATGGATGAGTCCATTGGGAGTGACTGGTTGAATTTTGAGGCTGCATCTACCTTTGCATCCTTATCTGGCAGTTATATTTCCCTTTTGTCTTTGGAACCTGGTTCAGAGTTCAGCTTACCTGTAGGAAAGGAAGCAAACCTACAGTGAACATACATGTGAGTCACAAAGGAAAGGGCTTTGGAGGTGTTACTTACAAGTGAACAGGAGGAAGAGATGGAGGAAAGTGGCTTAGATAAAGTTTCTCATATTCACCAGGCAGCTCTCCCCAGATGTCAGGCAGCTTTCTTGTGCTAGGTGGCTCTCCTCAGGGGCAGGGCAGCCCTCCCCAGAGGCTGGACAGCTCTCCACCCTCAGAGCTCTTCTGAGGTTCAAACCTTGTTCCTTACCAGGGACTATGGCTGGGGATAGCACTTCTGGCTGTAGTACCACCATCATTGTCCCCTTCTTCTCCACCAAGTGGCCTAATTGTAACTAGAAGTAGATATCATTACTTTCCTCTTCCACAAATGGAGAAGGGACTTCCAGAGTGGTGAATAGATCTGATCAAGGTCGAAAGAGTAATAAAGGCAATAAAACAAGGACTCCAACCAAGGTTGTTTGAAGACAGACTGTGAGGTGGTGAGCTCCACAGGATACTAGGGTAGGCTATCTTTTGTATTCCTCTGAAAGCAAAATCCTACTGAAGATCATTTTCAAAATGGCCAGAAGAGTACACTCAGGCTACCTAGTGGGATTCTGGGTTTTTTTACAATGTTTGAAGCTGATTGCTGCTTTCATGACATTATGTTTAGTTTTTCTTGAAGTGTTTCGTTTTCTTAAATGTTAGGTGATTTCCACTGTGTCCGCATTAATTGTTGACAATTCTTCTCTTTTGTTTGTTGAATAGTGGTCAGCATAACAAGTTTTGGGGGTTTTTTTTGCAGCATATCAGTAAAATTTATTGAAACTGCTCTATAAGAGTATTCACAGAGTTCAGTGTAGCTACATAACAAACACCAAATACTTTTTGCATCAATCATTTAGATTTGTTCAATGTATTGAATGAGGTAGTACTTTTTTGAAGGCAGAATAATATTGAAATATAGGTAGTATCTTGTAATATAAAGAAATACTTTTCATATAAATATTTAAGCATTACATTTGATTTCCTGCATCATAGATTTTGTAACTTACCAGAAATTTAAAATGTGTAAAAGATTATGTTGTTTATTTAATAGGAAAATAAATGAAGAGTATACTAAAACTGACTCTTGTTATGTCAGCATATAATAAGACTGATGTCCATCCGTCAACCTTCATTCTCGTTGGCATTCCTGGATTGGAGGCTGCCCACCTCTGGATCTCCATCCCGTTCTGTGTGGTATACCTTTTGGCCTTGCTAGCAAACTTCTCCCTTTTGTTTATCATCAAGACAGACCCTAGCCTTCATGAGCCAATGTATCTCTTTCTCTGCATGCTGGCTGTGGCTGACCTTATTGTGTGCACTACAGCAGTGCCAAAGCTTCTCAGCCTCTTTTGGTTTAATGATGGAGAAATTCGTCTTGAAGCCTTTCTCACTCAAGTGTTTCTGATTCATTCTTGCTCTACCATGGAGTCTGGGTTTTTCTTGGCCATGGCTTTTGATCGCTATGTAGCTATTTGTAATCCATTAAGGCATTCAATGATTCTGACAAACACCGTGATAAGGGAGATGGGTCTCGCCATTGTACTTCGGGGCACTGTTCTTCTCAGTCCTCATCCTTTCCTGTTGCGTTGGCTTCCCTATTGCAAAACCAGTGTAATTTCTCACACTTACTGTGAGTTCATGGCCCTCATCAAAATTGCCTGTGCTGAGACAAGAATCCGAAGAGCCTACAGCCTAATTGTGGCTTTCCTTACTGGGGGTGTAGATTTCATATTGATTATTTGTTCTTACGTACTCATACTCAACACTGTCTTCCACCTCCCATCCAAGGATGCTAGACTTAAGACTTTGGGCACTTGTGGTTCTCATGTCCTTGTCATCTTGGTCTCCTATACACCAGCCTTCTTCTCTTTCCTCACTCACAGGTTTGGGCACCACGTGGCTCCCCATGTCCACATATTTGTGGCCAACATTTATCTTCTGGTCCCACCTATGGTAAACCCCATTATTTATGGAGTGAGGACCAAAAGGATAAGAGACAGATTTCATAACAAGTTTAATATATGGGATGGGCCACTCACTCTACCGGAAGTCTTTTCTAGGTAAGTGTTTCTTTCCTAGAGTCCTTCAGATTCTCTCTAGTCTGCAGTGCTGCCCTGCTGGAATCTTATGTTAACGCAATCCCCTTTTCAAAACTCTACTGCCCTCCTTTGTCTGTGGAGTGGCAGAGTGGTGCGAGAGCAAGTGCTTCACTTAAGCAGTTTCTGCACAGAGGGCTTTGAAGGCAGTTCTTTCTCTAGCACCTCAATGTGCCAGCTGAGAAAGTGATACTTTCCCCTGCTTGTCCCTGTTCCAAACTCTATTGACCTCTTTAGTCCCTAGAATGACCCTCTGGTGACAAGGTACCCTAAATGGAAGAATCCTACTCCAGAAGATTTTTCAGCCCTTTCATCTGAAAGGGAAAGATTGTATTTGCTATGTCTCATTGTCTAATCAAGATTTATTAATTCTGTTGTATCTTTATGGAATTACAGATGTGCAATTCTACATTCCCTGCATCATGTAGCACATGACTGTATGTGAAAACAGTTATACTTCACAAACATATACATATTAATATAATGTGTTATTATTTAATAACTATTTATTAGTCTGTTTTTGTTAGGGGTCATCAAGTGGAGTATGACTCATAACAACCTTATGAACAACAAGAGATATGAACCCTGTCCTATTCTGGAAATCTTCATAATTTTTTACATACTCAATCTCATCACAGCAATCACTGTGTCAAGCCATTTGGTTGAGGGTATTCATCTCTTTCACTGATTCTGCAATTTCCAAACATAATGTTCACATAAGGATCACATACTCTGGATATGTTGTCAGAAGAGGTTATTTCTTGGAAAGGGACATAATTCTTGGAAAGGTTCAGGGTCAGTGAAAGAGAGGAATGATATGGATCTTAATGAAATGGATTGATATAGTGTCTACATCAATGGACTCAAATGTGTTGAGGATGACAAGGATGGTGCAGGATAGGACTGAGTTCAGATCTGTTGTTCATGGTGTCACCATGAGCCACACTTTTCTCCATAATACTTAAAAACAACAACAACAATGATAAGATACCCAAAGTATGTGAGATGAGGCTATGTCATCCTTGCCTTCAAGTAACACTGGATGTAGTTTCTCCAAGACATATTTGTTTATTCTTTTGTCAGTGTGTGAGATATTCAGCACTCTTCTCCAACACCAAAACCCGAAGTCATGATTTTTACTTCTGTCAGCTTTATTCATTGTCTAGCACTGGTAGCTTAGTGCTATTCTTTTTAATTAATTTTTGTGTGTCTACTTATTTTCCTAATTTAATTCATCCTTTCTCCACTTACCACTTTATAATATTAATTTAAGTGATAACTATCTTTTACAGAATTAATTGGATTTTATAAAATATTTGAATGTTTGATGTATAGTATCTTAGAAAACCACAAATGTGTGAAACAGGAGAGTGATTTAATCTCCTGTTGCATCTGGCTTTTAAAGCATCCTTCTAAAGTTCTATTTCTGTGTGAAGTAATGTATTTTTGAGATAAAGAATTGGCTTTACCCACCCCCAAATTATCAACTAATATTTAATTAATTATGAAATACAAAGAGAATGAAAAAGAAAAATATACAACTTTCTTATTTCTCATTTTGTGAAGTTACTGTATTTATGTCCTTCTGCTTAAAGAAACGTAACAAAAAACTTTTTTCTTGTCTACTTTCTGTGAATGTCAAGTTTGGTGAGTATATAAATTGTAAACTGCTGGTACATAAAGTCTATTTGAACTTTATGTAGCAGGTAAAGTCTTGCAAGAGCTTAGGTTTAATTCAAAGAGAACAGGAAGATGAGTAGGGGAATTAGAGAAGCTGGCATGGTGTGTAAAAGGTGGTTACTTTCTCATTTATAAAGCTTTTGCATCATGCTTGTGACTCTTCTGCCTTGTGGGTAAATGGGTTTTGGTGCTCTATTGTAAAATTTTGTTGGCTTTGTAGAAATCTGCTTTGAAAATCTAGAAATTGTAGTAATTTTTACCTATGTAGGCTAAAAATCAAACCTATTGTTATTCAGAGCTGTGCTATAGCAAGAGTAGAACTTCCCTGTTGGATTTCCAAGACTACGACTTTAACAGAAGTAAACTGTCATATTTTTCTCTCAAGCAGTTGCTAATGAGTTTGAACTATCAATCTTATTGCTAGTAGCTGAGCATTTAATTACACTGGTGCAGCAATCACCATCTAGCCTTGTGACATTTGCCAGTACTTGGACTTTTTTTAATAAATTTTACTTTTTTCTTTTGTCAAAACAGGATGTTGGATTGACTTGGGTCAGTAGCTCATAAACTGTGCCTTGACAGATACATGTTTCTTTAGCAGTTACTATATAAGGTTGAGGTGTGAGATCTACTGTCAATCAAAAGTAGAAATAAAATTTAGGTTAAAACGAAACGTTTTATTTTAATTAAAAATTTTGTTTCGTTTAAGAAATTCTGATGGTCTAGTGGTAAGAAACTGTGCTACAATCCCAACTCACACAGTTTGAATCCACCAGCTGCTCTGTGGCAAAGGATGAAGAGTTTCCTCCTGTGTAATCTACTGTCTTTGAAAGCCCACTGGAGGGTCTGCTGTGGGTAGTTTCAGACTCAATAGTACACAAAAACAACAATAACATTACATTTACTCTGTTAGTAAAGTAGTGCACCCTTCTTTGCATTTTTGCTTTCCTAGGTTTATTACTCATGGTCTACCACACTTTAAAAATAATAAATGTAAAATTCAAGAAATAAATAAATAATATTGTGCACCCTTCTGAGAAATAAGATAGAGTCTCTGGGCCATTCTACTCTGTCCCTTATGGACCATGAGTCAGCCCTTTGTCCAGTGTGTCCATGCTGTGTATGATACTAACCTGACAATCATGTAATAGCTGTTTTGTTTATTAGATGAACTACGAGTTGCTCCAGTGATGTTGCTGTTGTTGTTATGTAATTTGGAGTCAGAACTGACTTATAATTGACCTTCCAGTGGGTTTTCAGAGGCAGTATATTATATGGGAGGAGATTGTCTGACTTTTTCCATTGGAGTAGCTAGTGGATTTTAACCACATGTCTTCAGATTGTCATCACAACTCCTTACCACTAGACCACTCTTGTCATATTACTGATACCCCTAATTTTATTTATTAATGATTTGATCTGATCTTTAGTTTTGGGGTTTTTTTGGTTTTTTTTAATATATTATTAATTTCAATGAAAATTTACAGAGACTTTGGCTTTCCATTCATTCATTGTTGAAGTTTTATCCCTTCCCAACCCTCTCTCCTAGTACTCTACCCTCTTTGAAAAGTAAAAGAAAAACTTTTTCATTGTTTTACAATTCCTCCCCCCAGGTCCACTCCACTATGCAGCCTTTGCTCTGGAGTCCTGTCATGATAAAAATACCTAATAACATATCTATTTTAAGCAGTTTTCTTCCTCATCTGTTTCAATACAGCATATATTATTGAAACCATCTTTCTCAGTCTCCCTGCCTCCCAAGCTCAGTCCTGATTTACAACAGTGGCACCATGCAGTATTTGTCCTTTTGTGACTAAGGTACTTCAATCAGCATAATGTCCTCCAGGGTCACCCATTTTGAATAGTATTGCATGAGTTCCTTTTTTTTCAATGCAGCGTAGTATTCCATTGTGTGAATACACCACACCTTCTCTATCCATTCGTTTTTTGATGGGCACTTAGGTTGTTTCCAACTCTTTGCTATTGTGAACAAAGCCGCGCTACTGCTTGGATGTTAGTTATGGTCTCTTTGAGGCATATTCCCAGTAGTGGAATTGCTGGGCCAAATAGCATCTGTATTTGCAACTTTTTGAGAAAGCGCCATACCTCCTTCCACAGTGTTTGCACTATTTTACACTCCCGCCAACAGTGAATAAAGAGTACCAGTTTCTCCACAATCTCGCCAGCATTTGTTGCTTGTTGTTCTGTTAAATTTTGCTATTCTGACTGAGGTGAGATATCTCATAGTTGTTTTGTCATTATTATTTTTTTAATCTCTTATTGTGCCCAACTTATGAATTAAATTTTGTTATAGGTATGTCTATATTTGTTAACAATTACAGCTTGCTCGGCTCCACAACCAACCCATTTGGCACCAACTGTGAGGAAATCAAAAGACGAATCGCACTAGGAAAATCTGCTGTCAAGGAAGTCTCCAGACTACTCAAAAGCAACGATGTCAGTCTAGAGACTAAAGTGTGCCTAATGCAGGCCTTGGTCTTTATAATTACTTGCTATACATCAGAGAGCTAACAAAGGACTAAGGATGACAAAAAAAAAAAAAAAGAATTGAGGCTTTGAGCTGTAGTACTGGAGAAGAGTTTGGAAGACTACCAAGAAAACAAATCTGTCTTGGAGAGGGTGACACCAAGTTTCTCCTTGGAGGCTAGGATGTTGAAACTCTGTCTTGCATATTTTGGGCATGTAGCCAGGAGGAACTTACCCTTGTAGAAGGACATCATGCTCGGAGGGGTAGACGGACAGTGCAGGAGAGGAAGATCCTGGATGATATGGATTGATACAGTAACTGGGGAAATGGGACTAGGTGTGTCAGAGTTGATGTGACTGACTCAGAACAGGGCAGACTTCAGAGCTGTTGTACATAGGGTTGCTATGAGTCAGAGGTGACTTGATGGCACATAACAACAACAGCAACGACATATATAAGACAATATAAAAATAATATGTAGGGTTTGGTAATACTTATGGTTTTCGATAACCATTGAGGACAAGGGGAGGACTACTGTACTCATCATGAATCTCAAGGAGATAGATTCATTGCTCCAGGTTTTTCAGCTGTATTTGTTGAAATCTAAGGTCATATATTTTTATTTATAGCTGCTATTCAGTTGGTCCCCAACTTGTGATGACTTCATATATTGCAAACAAAATATTGCCCAGTCTTGAGCTATTCCTAAGGTCAATTGGGGATGAGATTGTTGTTATTCCTAATGTTTTTATTGATATTTAGATATATATCAACAGGCCTCTCTTCCTACTCTGAAAGCT